TTTTTTTTTTTTTTTTTTTTTTTTTTTTCCTGCTCTCTACTCTGTAAATTGAAAGGCATTTAGCGATACAAAGAACGTGTCCAGGCCTCGGAGGCTTTAGCAAAACGCATCTTCTGCTGCCTTTTTAATGTTCTGTCTCTTTATGCCAAAACCCCTGACTTCAAAGGTGCTGTTAAGCTTTATTACATATTATTTATTTCTTTCAACTTTTTCATTATGCCAGCCGCAGTGTTTGGACTCTGATAAAAAAAAAAAAAAGTGGGAGGGATGTCCATCCAATTACCATGGCAGTTGGAAGCAACTTTGACAACTGTTGAGCCGTGTCAGGCTGTCCAGCTCTGAAAATCTCAATCTCATGCTAAAAATGATTTTGCTCTTGATGAAATCAGGATTAGATTAGACTTAATCCATGTTCTGCTTTTTATACTGTATTAAAAAGTGGTTTGAGGTGGTTTATTTTACCAACACCCAACTTAAATTCTAAATATTTATGCGTCAGGGTCTCAACGCCATGACAGCTCGTGCGCCATTCACGGCTTTATTAACCTGTAGTTATTCACGTTCGGGAGAAATTTACCCCCTAAAATAATTCCTGTTTAAAGCAGCGTCAGACTGACTTTCCACAGTGACAGCTCAAAACCCAGCGAGAGGAAGTTGTTTGAAAATTCTGAAGTACAATAAACAGAAAACCGCACAGTCCACACAGCAGGCTAATGTTAACCAGCCCGAGCCGCCTGTGATGCTTTGTACAAAAAATATGAAATATTTACAGCGAGGAAAAGAATTCTCATGACAGTGACTCCAGCTTTCTTCTGACGTAGTGCTCATTCACTCCCAGTGGTGCAAGACGTAAAAGACCCTTTACTTACGTCAAAGTACTTCAGTGAGTGGAACGATGTAAAAATAGTCTAAGAGGTTTTATAAGTACACATTCTGCTTATAAAATCTGACTTAATTAGTACAGTATTATCCGCAGTGTTATATGTATTCCAATCTTTAAAATTAAAACTATTCATTATGTAGAAAAATGATCTCGGTGTAGAAGCCCATATCAGCCAAGAAAAGAAAAAAATACATGAAAGTTTAATATAAAAATATGGTGAGTAGTAGTAATAATAGTGAGTCAACTAAGTAAGTAAGTTTATTTTGAATTTCTAGTACATTTTGATGTTAAAAAAAAATTGTATGTCATAATATCCCACGTCAAAAACTTTCATCCATAAAATCATAATTTAGATTTAGTATCTCCTACATTTGACTAAGGATGAATTTAATTCTGAGTTACTATCACATAATTTCGATTTGCCATAATTGTTGAAAAAAATAGATTAAAAGTTATGTTGAGCATAATAATATATATATATATATATAATAATACTCTGGAGATAACTCTCTCTGCCATACCACACCTGCACGTCTGCAGGGCTTTTTTTTTATAATTGGGGAATGGGGCACATCTCTCCCACCTTGTTATTTAGGCTGATTGAAGTAGTTCTTCATATAAAGTATTAATATTGATACAAAATTTTCATTTTCAGGAAAGTTAGTAATTAAGAATTTCCTCAAAATGTCTTGAAGATAACATCCAGGGCATACGAACCTGTCTGTGGTTTGCTTTCCTGTCGTATGTTTTTGCGATGCTTGTTTGAATCGTGCATCATGGTGTGTGGCTGATTTTTCACTCACGCTCATTGTTGTGGATTATTGATTAGATTGCTTATTGTATTTCCCTCTCTCATCAGCCTGTGTCGTGTAACAAAGATGGAAAACTGTATCGTTAAATACTATTGTGTCTGCGTTGTCTTTTTGTCATGTTTGCATGTGCTTAACATCCAGAAAACAACTGGTTGTTTTTACTCTGGCAAGTTGCTTTTGGTCCATCAATCCCACAGGCAAACTGAAAACAAAGCCCATTGTCTACAAACAGGAAACAGTTATTTGCTGATCCATCTCCCTTAATCTTAAATTATGACAATTTGAGCTCCAGAGTTCAGTTCCTGAGTGGATTGATCTTAAAACTGCAAGAGCTTTGCCCCTGGTGTTCCTGACCCTTTGTACATGTCACTGTTTCCTCCACCAGCCTGTCCAGGGATTCGACTACGCCAAGAAGCACATGGGTCGAACGGGTGATGAGGCCATCTCTGTTACTAAGGAAACACTGGTGCTGGGGCTGCCCGTGCGAGATGCTCCGTTGTCATTGTCTTTGGATAAGAAGGTCCACCAGGATGGGACTGCCAGTAAGAGGCCTCCATCTGCGGACATACACAAAGGAGGGTAAGGCAGTCGCTGACTCAGTAGTTTTCTTGCATGTTTGCTTTAGTGTGTCCTTGTTTGTTTGTTCTGGAGCAGTATATTAGTGTAATTACGCTGCGATTACATCAGGAAGAAATTGTTTGGATATCAGCAAGTCAGTGTTCATGTAAGATATGATGCAGTTTATTTCTTCGTGTATTTCTCATCCATGCTGGTGGTATGGCCCTGGGGACCTCTCAGCTGTTGGACCAGACTCTGCCACAGACTGAAATATCTCAGCAACTAATGGGTGGATTGCCATGAAATTTGTTACAGATATCCATTAGTTTTTAGTGCTAATTAGCAAATGTTGGCATGCTAACATGCAAAACTCAGTTGCTAAATGTGGAAACATTTACTGCTAAATGGGTTCATAAGAAAACCAACACACTCCAGAGGACAGAAACAGAAAAAGTCCTCTGTGATAATCTTTTCAGTTTGCTGACAAACCTGCTGACGCATTTGAACGTGAAGTGCATTTGAACGTGAAGTTCAGCCTCTAGTGTGGCTCTAAATATTAATCTAAAAAAACCTTTAACCTGAATTTATTCTGATGTGGCAATTTGGTCAGATTTACACATATAGATATGTACACACACATACAACAAGTATTCTAGATTTGTGTGAAATAATGACGATAATAGTAATAAATCCTTAAACTACTGATCAAACATACTGTTCCCAGCGGGAAGCCTTGTGCGAGGGACCCACAAAGTTCTGGAGCAGCTGTCCCGAGCTTTTCAGAAGGACCAGACATCAGTGTTTGTGCATCGCAGTGTTAAGCCAGAGAGAAGCCAATAGTAAGCAGTGCAGACTCCAACAGATTGACATGATCTAAAGATAAGTCCAGTGTTAACAATGAGCTGCTCTGAGACAAAGAGGAAACACATGTACTGTCTCACAGCAGGAAATTTGGATGTAACAAAATACCACTGTTGGTTTTCTGAATTGATTTTAGTGCCGAGTTTAACACTGATCTGCGTGTGATTGACGTTAAGTTGCCACATGCGGCGTTTTCACAGGAATAAATAGTTGTCACAGTATTTTTGAGCTGTTACCAGCAGCTGCGCGAGCTGCAGTCTGACACGTACGTCTTTGTGGGCAGTGAAGGTTTCCTGTGAGTTATAACAGGATACAAATGTAAATGACAAGAATCAATTAAAACGGGTACAAACAGAAATTAAAAGGTTTAGAGATTGAGAAATGACCAAGAGGCACCGACGAATTCTTTTTTTTTTTTAAAGCGCTTTGTAGTGAGCTCCAGGTGGATGGTGCAAAGAAGCCAAAAGCAGTTCCTCTAAGCTCAGTATGAACTCGAGGGACATGGAGCGTGAGCCACTCATTAGTGTAGTGTGCGCCCGTGGACCAAACTAACATGGATCTAAGATATGAAGGCAGTTTTCCAATATACTACAAGAGGTGTTTAAATGGCAATAGAAAAATAATTTAGCACAGAAAAATGAAGCAGTCTGGATGTTTTCCAACCTCCAGTAAATAAACAGATAGTGATCGTAGCTTTGCTGCAGATGCACCTGGTGGAGTCCAGCTGATTCTGTGGTTAAATAAACTTCCGTTGATGAATGATTTTCTCGTCAGTCTCAGTAAGAGAAAGAAACTGTGTCCTCTCAGCAGCGAAAACTACCAGCACTGGAGGTTTCACACCCTTCTCATTAACGAATGTGAAGCCTCTGCTCTCGCCCACACGTTTTTAAATATGCCGGCGACATGAAATTAGATGGTTTCTTGCTGCCAACTTCTGCACTCCGTACTGACTTTCAGGAAAAAGACAAATCCATTAGTTAGCGCGCAGATAATCGTCTACAAGAAAGTTTACTCAAAGAAATTTGTCTTAGATTTCAGAAGGAACAAGTGTGGTGTCCCTCCGAGCCAAAAAAAAAAAAATAACGAGTCACTTGAGAAGCAAACTTGATTTAAGTATCTGTTTTACAGTAGGAGGTCAAAACTAGTGTGAGAATGATTTCAAAGCCGGGAGACGTTTTATTATTAGAGGGTTTTTTTTAGAAGTCCGTTTCAGAAAGAGTCTTTTTGGAAACACGCTCATACGACGAGACAATATTCTAGCACTCATCAGTTTTCAGCTGCAAACTCTCAATGCTGATTTTATGAAAACTTAATCAAGTCTTCGCGATGACCTGATCTGATCTAGACTTTCAGATAAACAGCTGCTCATTCGTCCTCACAGGCACTGAGAAGCGATAGTGGATTAGACCGGTTTACTGGATACCTGCTGGATTATGTGGCGTTTATGTCTGGGATAATGTAAGATTACAAAAGTGGAGAGGGGATATTGCAAAAAAAATTAGGGTGCAAACTGTAATGAACATAATGCATCTGACTCCTGCTAATCTCCATGTTTTATGTAATCTGCCTCAACTTGGCTTTTAATTTGGTGTTGAATGTTTTTCTATATTTATCTGTCTTTTTGTACTATTCCATTTTTTTCTTCACTAATCTTCTTTGTTATTGTTTTTTTGTGGGGTTTTTTTCTTTTTATGGATGAGCGATGAACATGATTAGTAAACATCTGGCGGGATCCCACAGTTTTAAATGTATTTACCAAAATGTGCAAAACAGTCTTATTCCCAGTTGACTTCGCTAGGATTACGAGTTGTAATCGGTTGTACGCATGAACACTGCAAACATTTAGATCACAACAATGAAAACAATTTTTTAAACTTTCCCCATCCCTGGACATTTCTCTGCTATAAGCTGCACCCACCTGTCCACCCACATTCAACAGCTACATCTTTCCTTAAGGAAGTTTGGACTCATAAATGAAAATGCATCATGCCTCCTCTCACTGAAACACACACACACACACACACACACACACACACACATGTAAGACAGAGCCCCATTTTTACACACCACTAAACGAAAATGAATGGAGGTGGGATTAGTTGTGCTTTGCTTCCCAAGGCTGATAAACACATGTATATTTATAACCCTGGCTATAGCCATGCCAGAGGGAGCCTTTCAGTGTAACAATGATGACAGTGTAAAATGCTCCGAGAGCTGCCATAGTGCGATAATCAGCTTTACCAACCTGTATGTATAAACACACGCATCTTATGGGGAGCCAGTTTTTTAGAGAAGGTATCAAGGTTATTCTCCCACCTGGGTGTACACTAATTAGAAAATGACGCAGCATCTCATGCTCTAACCAGTGCAGTGTGCAGTGCAATGGGATGAGGGGCAGGGGTGGGGATCTTACACCAAAACAACAACAAAGGATGCAATTATCCTTGGATTTTATAGTGGGAACTGAGCAGAGAAGGAGACTTGTGAAGTGTGTTTTGCTCTCTTCAGATGCGCAGACACAAACAGGCCTGGTGTTCTGAATCAGAGGGCGAGAGGTGGATGAGGAGTTACAGACAGACGACTTGCACAGGAGAACAAGTCTCTCTCATCCACTCATCCACTATCCTCTATACGCGGTATACGTTGGACACTCAGTAATTCACTCTATAGTGAGGATTAAGCTGAGATTTGGGGAAACTGGATTGCACAGCTGTAATTTGTTAAATGACCCTTTGTCAGCAGACAAACATCTCAGGGACACTACTCTCTGCTAACAAAGACGGAAACATGGCAGATCAGCGTACAGTATATATATGCTGCACATTATAGTGTGAGGAGGCATTTCAGACACAGACTAAGAGATTACAGCTCTCTCCACCTTTTTCCTGTGTCGCGAGTTTACCCATGATTCATAGCAGAAGTCGGTTTTGCTCTTCCTGTTGAGCACCAGCTGTCATGGTCGCTGTAAAAGAGGCACGAATGGACAAAAAACAGACCATGTTAGCATATTGATGTTTAGCAGGTTTACCGTGGTCACTGTTTTAGGTCAGCGTGATACCATGCTAAAATTAGCTAATTAGTATTAAACACAAATTATTTTTGCTGGAATTTTGTAACAAACCAAGTGATTCAACTGATTTTAAATTTTACCCTGATAATGATGAGGATGAGACCTTCCTCTGGGAATCCTACAGTGAATTTAAAGAGAAATACACAGTCATGATCAACAAGGAGCAGGGAGGTGGAACAGATGATCGAATGAGCCTGCACCTTCTTCATTATGCATGATGTAGACACAGGTGGTCCGACAATACTTCCAACTTCCTGCATCCAATGGACACGTAGACACGCTGCTAAACATAAATATTACTCTACATACAGAACATACAGTCCTGTTGTTGGATCTCTACTCATGAATTAAATAATACTAGAACAACATTTGAATTCATTACTAACATACTGATTTTTTAAATGATAATAATCACCCTCTGCAACGTCCTTAGATTACGAATTATCATGAATTATAAAATTTGGCTTTTCCATAATGTAATGTTCATTTTTTTCTGCTGAGGTTATTTTGTATTTTGATTGTATAAATCCTGTATTTTTGGTGTCTCCAAGAATATAAGAGAAGGAAGTGACGTGATCATCTTTTGTTTGTTGAAACACGAGGGAAACTTTGCCAGAAAGAGGAGCAGTTCCTTCAGCCACAGATTGTTTACTCGCCTGTCCTGACAGAGGAAGGACGGTTTCATAGGGAGCACATTTATGCTGCTCACTGCTTCCTCCAGAGAGCTGCAGTGTTTGAGGCACAAAGAAAAAAAGGAGATGAACATAACTTTCCCTCAGTGTGATTATTGATTCTGCTCCTTCCCTCGCCGGCCTTCCCGGACAGATTTACATGGAGCACACATCGTGTTCTTCCCTCCATCCCTTCCAGCTCTTTGCTTAATACCACATGCCTTTTATTGTTACTCTGCACAGTGTGTGTACGTGTGTGTGTGTGTGTGTGTGTGTGTGTGTGTGTGTGTGCGCGTGTGCATGCCTTCACACAGACAGCGTGTTAGCCTTGCCTGTGGCTCTTTACTGTCTAGTCTCACTGATCTGTGCATCTCACACCACCTGTAGACGGGCCTGTCACATTGTGTAGCCGCTGTAGCTCACACGCCTCCAGGCCGTTAGAGTGTTTGTGTGTGTCTTGTACATGGTTCAAATACCTGGTGTGTGTGTGGCAAGAACACACAAAGTCTTCATACATGTTTTTGCACGAATTCATTGATTCCTGTGGATGCTTGTGCACTTGTGCGTGCGTGTGTGTACACTGAGCTGTCTCCATTAAGGCCCTTGGCTGTTGAGCGACCTGCCCAACAAAATCAGGATTGTTGCTGCTTTACTTGTCCTTTACATTCGTCCTGTACTTCCCTCGATTTTCTGTGCTTTAACATAGCATGACTTTTGTGGGAGTCATTCTGTCCACTAATGAATAAATAGAATAAAGTGTGTGAATGCAAACCGTCCAAATGTTTTATCATTCCAGAGGCGTGTGGTTGGCCTGGTTAGCAGGTAATGTTAGCTTTTATGATGCTCATTCATTGCCTGCACATCAGGCGAGGAGCCAGAGGGGTGGCTAGGGGTGGCACAGGCCCCTTCTGAAATCTGATTGTTCCCCTTGGTGCCCCCTACAGAATCAGAGGGTGATAGATAGGTGCAGCCCCAGGGCCCCCTGGACCAGAACCTGCTCAGGTGACTGTTGACATTTCTTGGGAGTATCAGTCAAACGACTAAAAAGAAAAGAAAATCAAAACAGAGAGGAAAACAGCCTGAAAGAGGGAAAACAACTTTCAGTCTGGGTGTCTTGCTCCTGTGTAGGAGGGTGGGGGGTGTTTTACTTCTGTCCACAGCTGTAAGATATTTGGAGTTTCTAATAGCAGATATCTATTGAAAATACTTCCCATTAGGAGGAGCTGAGTGAATCACTGCGCTGCTCTACAATGAACTAAAATTTTACCCATTTGAAATAGTAAAGAAAAGTAAAAAAATCAATATGTGGCGAGCTGCCACAAATAAATCAATGTATGGAGAACGAGGACCAGCAGTGGAAATGATTTTAATTTGAACTTTTAGGGAGCGCTACCGCCTGAATACTCGTAGCATCTGGGGTCTGTGATCAACTTCCAGAGTCCCTGGCAGGACATGACAGCAGGGACGGACAGTTTATCGGACTGAAAGAAGAGCAGCGGAGCCACACACACTCCCCACCGCTAGAATAAAAACTAAGAATTGCAAATCAAAAATAAGAAACACAAAAAGACAGGCCGTCATGTTGGAGCTGTGATCCTGAATGTTAATCTCATTTTTTGAAAACTTAGATTGGTTATCAATTCCACATTTCTTTGAGGGTTTAGACGTATTTCCATTATTTGTATGTGGTTTTTATCCATTACATGTACATCCATTCACATACAGACCAGCAAGCAACATGTCTTCAGCTTTTTTAATCATTATTATTTCATTTATTTTGTTTAAAAGCTAAAATAAAGTTGATAGACAGTGCGTTTCCAGTATTAACTGTCAGATGATGCCCTGTTTGTGTACCCGCTGAGACTCACAGGCCCTCCCCTCCCTTCTCCTCTCTCCCTCACCTCCCTCTGTTGCCATGGCTACTACAGACGGTTGCCAAGTGAGGAGGACGGCTCGGTGTCGAGTAACGGCTCAGGGAAGCTGAACACCAGCAAGAGCTCGTCAGCCCGTAGGACAGCGACCGGCAGCAGTACGAAGAATGGCAAGGAGGAGCTGCATAAGAGGAGCGCCAACGGTGAGGAGGAGGAGGAGGAGGAGGAGGAGGGAGAGAGTGTTAGCGAGGAGAGATGGGGTTGAAAGAGCGAGAAAGAGACAAAAAAAAAAGACAGAATGAGGATGAGATTATCACACTGAGGAAACACACAGTCCGTCTTTGCAATAAAAAATGTTGATCACCAAAAAGTAAAACACTGACCTCACTAACTGCTGTGATATTTTGCCTGAAGGACAATTGATATGAGCTAATGAAGTGCACATGAACAAAAAAGAGTGAACACTCATACTCACACATACAGTCACTCAGCCTGCTGCTGCATCACATAACTGTCAGTGACGACATATATACTCACATCACACACTCTCTCACATGTCTCATTACTCACACGCTCGTGCACACACACAGTGGTTACTACAGTTAGCTGAGTCAAAGGAGAGTTTTTCTATTTCAGTTTTCAGGTGTTTTCAGTCGACTCGCCTCGTTCCCGGACGCAAAGCTGCAAAAAAAATAAAATAAATAAAAGATAAAAGCCAGCGGGTTCGCGGCGCATGTTCCTTCAGCATTGCGTCAAATTACTTTAGAGTAGAATCACAGAGGGAAGTGGGCGGAAAGAGTTGTGACACAATACTGTCATGTTAGGTGTTATTCAAATCCGTTCAACCCACAGCATATGGTTTGTGTATTAGAAAAATGACTCGTTAAACCGGCGACACTCAGGGATCCTCGTCCTGGGAGAAAAGATTCACAGAGATACGACGTGTAGCTATTAAAAACATATTAGCACCGTCATTTTAAATAAAGGGATTACTTTGTTTCCCCTCATCTTTATATCGAGGTTGTGGGTATATAAGCAATTATCTCCATCTAGTCCATCCCAAGCATCTTAAACACAAACATAACAAAAACAAACAAACACTATTTTATCGTTGGTTATAGTCTGGGGAATCACTTTTTTAGTAAGACGCCCTTTATGAAAGCCCTTGTAGCTGTAATTACTGGCTTTATTAATGTTTCATCAGTCATTTACTTATTACTGATGCTTATCAACAAGAGAAACATTTGGGTTGCCAGATTGTGTGTGCCGGCCAGTGTTTATCCTCCTTCAGACACTTGCTTTGTCTTCCTAGCCAGCACACCCATTTATTAGGAAGACAAGAATGTTAGCAAGTCATTAATAATAGGTCACGAGGAAGAAGTCGTAAATTAAGAAACAGAGCTGATCAAGCAAAAAGCAATTTACAATATCTGGAAGCTCATCAGTTTGTCAGCTGAGAAAATATATCCACAGATGCACATCAGATTAAATGTCTTGTGTTGCCAGATGTTTTTTGTTTTTTTTCTTTGTAATGCATCTTCAAACATGTAGACATGTTCCAGAGCACACAGGTGTCGTCGTGCTAGTTTCTGAAACACAGCCGGCCTTTTTTCACGATAAACAATTGTGTATATGTCACAGTTGTAAAGTACAGGTGTGGATAATGAGATTTATGCTGCTTTCCCTTCACAGCTAGCCACCGACCTCGTGAAAAAATTGCCACAAACAAAAAGTGGTGACAGGTGTGGACGTGTACGAGCTTGATGCAGCTGTACAGACTGTTGTAACTCCCAAAACTCCGACTGAACTGTCAGACACTGAGCTGCATTGCGGCTAACGCAGGCGTCAGGTTTTAACAAAGAAGAAAGATGTTATCTCTGGTTCTACACTTTCCGTCGTGGGTCCAACTTGCAAAGAGTTCCCCACCGTGAAACTCTCTTTTAATGTTTGCACTCCCAGTGTTCCCGCTATTACTCAAAATTAATATGCGATTTATCAAAGCAGCACCTTGACAGCAAATGAATAACGTCTTGCATACATATTTTTGATAACATCAGTCTGCAATAACTGAGATATTTTAGGGAATCTTGGGATCTTCGCTTCGGTGTTTTGCTGCAAACCGTGGACAAAAAAGAGAAATATCCAGGACTGGACTGTACAGCACTGATTCTCACTTCGTAGCCTGTTGCTTGGATTACTGTCAGTTTACGCAGCTCTTTCTTCAGTGTCAAAGAGTCCTTTTCAGACCCAGGATAATAGTCTCCTCGTGCCTTTATCTACACTACCTGTTATCAGTGGTGTCAGTAACTGTACTGCATCTTCTTGCTCAACAGATTTAACAGACAGATCTTATTCCAGCTCTGCAGACTCACAGTTGGTTGCATAAACATTTCCCTGATCACTGATGACGCTGCAGCGTTGTTTCTGTTCAGTGACATTCTAGGACACTGAGATTTTCAATCTCTTGTGCATCAGCAAACCACTGTTCGCAGTAATTTGTGTGATTTATAGTGTTTATGCAAGCGAATGAATGAACACCCGGAGGAGGGGAGGAGAGGATGAGTAATTGTTTCATTTTCTCACTACTGTTCACAGAGAGCCGGAGATGGACAGAAGTCCTGTTTCCAGAAAGAGGAAAAAAAAAACAAATAAATAAAAAAGGAAGGAAGGAGAACAGACTGTACACTGGAGCTTTGTTGAAGAAAATGAAAGATTAATAAAAGTATAGATCCAAACAAGAAGCAAAGACAGAGAGGAAGAACGACTGCACACAAAATCAAATCAAATACAGTCAAACACAGTAGAGATTAAAGGATGAAAATAGTTCACTTCAGTTATTCAACAGGAGATGTTACGCACATGTTACCTATAGATACGGGGCAAAGATGCTTTTTCTCTTCTTCTCCTGCTCGTATTCGCTGCTCAGGTTGCTCTTTCGCTTTAATGTGATCCTCTCACAGTGATCTCATCGCCGGGTTACGGGAACACTTTGACATTTGAATACCCACATAGGAAAACCAAGATTCTTGCCAGTCTCATGTCCGTATGCTAAATATGGAGCTGGAAACACGAGCTGATTAGCCTAGCTTAGCATAAAGACTGGAAGCAGGGGGAAATAGCTGGTCTTACCTTATCCACATCTTGGAGACTGGTGACCAGCTCCATGGAGACATGAAAGTGATATCTTTTTTTATTTAGATTTTAATATACACCAGTATCTGCTATTAATGGAGAGCTGTGGGGCAAAAAGGTCACCAGCGTAACCAACGGCAACAGGCATCATGTTCTTTAACACCAGTATGGGAATGGGTGGAAATGAGCTCATATATAGTAGAGGTGTGTGTGTGTGTGTGTGTGTGTGTGTATGTGTGTGTGTGTGTGTGTGTGTGTGTGTGTGTGTGTGTGTGTGTGTGAGAGAGTGTTCAGGTAGTTCTTTGATACATTGTGGATGTCTTTAATCATAGCTTTGCTTCCACTGTGCTATCAGATCAACTTAATGATGTTCAGCTTTTATTTATGCTAACGAGACTGGTGCTGATGAAGGAGGCTGCTCTAATGTACGGAGGAAAAGAAAAAACATTTAACTGTGTGAAGGCGCTTTTTAATTTAGAGTTTCTCATTTCCCACCAATGTATTATTTGTAAGCTTTATTCAGGATCTATGTGGTGTATGTAGGTGATGATGGCACACTGTGATAAAAGACAACAGTTACATCTCATTAATTAGTCGCAGATGCTGCAGGAAAATCAGCAAATAAATAAGAATGGAAGATGTTGTGGTGTGTGAGGGATTAGTCTCCATTACTCACCTTCTTTAAGCTGAAGTACACAAGCCTGACAACAGCTCTGTTCAGGGTGTAGAGAAGGTTACACATTACAGATTTATTTTTTTATTCCATGTACTTCTTTACAGTTTTAGATCATTTATAGCAATTCATCTTTAACAGTGTGCCATGCAGAGAAATGGGTGAATGTGAGTGAAAGGAGGATGACAAGCAGCAAAGGTCGTCGGTGGTAGATATCAAACTGGAGCTCTATATTTTTTTTATACAGCTAAAGGTCAGTGACACTGGTGTTTCTGTAATCTGCAAGATTCAAATGCAAAGTGTTTGTATATGTTATACATAGCACTTTACGAACCTTTACTCATCCTCACAGCCACATCACTACAAAACTCATCGTCACACTCGTAGAGCAGTAAGTAGATCACAGCAAAACATAAAGCAGTAAACAGTCACAGTCAACAAGCAGATTGTAAAATGAGTCACAATGTTTATCTTCCCATGTACAGAAAACACCTGCCCTTAGTAACAGTGGTTATTTTAGTCCTGTAATGCAAACGCGTATATTGTAAAAACCAATTACAAAATATAATCTGATTTAAAAACGCCACTCAGTCATCTCAGGAAAACACTGTTCGTGTTTAAGGCCAGTGTTCGACATCTGTTGTGATCTTTTTCACGGCGGCAGCGAGCGTTCAGAGCTCGCGTTATCTACACGTGCACGTCGTGGTTTCCAATCTGGTTCACAGCCCTGTGCCGCTCGTGACGCCGCCTGTCCTGACCTTAACTGTCACACTGTGATGGGCGGCGCAGGAGCAGCAGCAGCAACGAATAAAGCAGGCTGAGCTCCAGCACAGGATGAATGGTGACAGTGTGGATTCGGAGCTGAGTTAATGGCAGACTGTTGTAGCCCTACAATGAAGCAGTCTGCCATATGATGTCAGTCAGGCAGTGAGTCACAGTGGAGCCAGTGCAACACAACACTGTCCATCTGCTGCTCCGTGCAATAACACACACGCAGAGATACAGAAAGCTGCATGTAAGAGCAGCAGAGGAGGCGCCGCATACAGCTGATGTTTTCTCTTCAGGGGAAGCAACTGAACATTGCACAGAGTTGTGTTTTTTGTTTTGTTTTTTTTTTCAAATCCTGATTAATGGCACTTTCTAATGTATTATTGCTCTAACCTAAATTTTTAGAGTTGCCATGACAACTAGTAAACCTTACAGTAGAGACAAAATAAGGCAGATCTTATTATTCTGGAGTGTATCGCAGCATGGTAAGGCCAAAGGAAGCATGAATCATACACACACCTAATAAACTGTAGGTGTCGCTGTTAATATCTGAAGAGTTTGTTTCTTATTCGTTTGCTCTCTTTTCTGCACATTTATCATTTAACAGGCCCGATAGTTAAAGTTATCATACTTTATTCAATACCTTACTTCAAAAACACTAACATGTTAGCTAACAGCTACGTCAGCTATCAATAAACTCAATTTAAATCTCAATTTCCAGCAAAACAAAGATTTAGCAACTGTATTCTGCTCGCAGCTTACTTCTCTTGTATGTGTTAAAACAAAATACTAAAATGATACCACTCTCATAGCTGTCTGTTTATATAGAACTACAGCCAGCTTAGCTTAGCATAAAGACAGAAAACAGCTTGCCTGGCTCTGCACATAACCACCATGTAAATCCATGACTTGTTGTTCTTACACTTCAGTTTTTGCACAGATTAATCCGATGAGATATAATCTGTGTGAGCTCTCTCAGTGAGCTTCAGAGGTGTTGGTAGATGGATGTTGTTAGCTTCGGACAGAGCCAGGCTCGTTGACTCCTGTTTACAGCCTTTGTGCTAAGCTAACTGTAGCTTCATGTTTACTGTACAGTGAGAGAGGTATCGATCCTCTTGTTTAACTCTCTAATCAGCTGGCATATTTCACAAAGAAGGCTCCCAACCAGAGGACAGTGCTCTCATTATAGGGGCCAAAATGCTAATGATTGGCTAAATTTGCGAGTTTGACAATCATACCCAGAGGACTGAACAACATTGCCATGTAAATGATGTGGTTATTGGTAGAATTTGTGATTCAGTTCCTATTAATGCAACATCACAGCCTCCTGGAAGGACTGTCGGTGTTTGCTCATTACTGACCTGATCTGTCTTCCTCTTCTCAGACCCGTACGAGGACCATTCAGGCTCTCTGCGTCTCATCACCATTAAACCCATGACAGCCCAGCCAACCTACTCCTACCCCTCCTCCTCCTCCCACAGCCAAGACTCTGTGGTCCTCAACGGGGAGGTGAGTCTGCACACACACACACACACACACACACACACACACACACACACACACACATCCTGTATGTATACATAGTGTACACACACCTTCAAGGCTTTATCGCACTCAGCTTTGAGGAGAGTCTGCAGTGTTGACAGCACAGGGGAAGAGCGAAAACTAGAACATCATCATCGTGACGCAGTAACATATAGCGTGGAGGCATTTGGTCATCGCATAGTGTGGCAGATATTTTTCTGTCATATTTCCTTGATTCATGTTTATATTTGGAAACCGCTGACGCTTTACATCAGTGAGTCCAAACAGGGCGAACCTCTGCAGCTGCCAGGGAAAGGTGGTGTTGTACCTGAATTAGTTAAATAAATTGTAATTATGATTAAATCTAAATATGTAAAAAAAATATATATATATCCACTTATTGGATCAGCTGTAACACCTGAGAATGCATGACTAGTCAGCAAGGCATCAGGGAAGTCTAAACAGATTAGAAATGGATAAATAATTATAACAGTTCTGCAAGGATGGACAGTGGGTCCAGGTGGGCGGGGCTTCGGGCATTGCTGAGGGCAGTGACTGCTTTGTTGTGACATCACAAAGTTCCAGAAGTTCTGACAGCCTGTTTTAAGGCTCAGTTTCTGAATACAGGCTGTGAGTATTTCTCTGTGGACTGAGGCTTTGATACTTTCACAGTGTTAATAAAGAACCTAGACCTGATCTATAATCAAAGAAGACATGGAAATCTCACTTCATACGATACGGGACCTTTAAAATAGATAGCAGAAAGTGGGATTAGTAGTATTAATTCAAACCGGGACACATTGCAGTGATACAGAATTTAGCTGTTGTTGCTACAGTCACTGTGCCTTTTCATCCCCTTCCTCCTTTTTCCACCTCAACCCCTCTTCCCCTCTCTGGCAGCTGACGATAAATTATCCCTCAATCTATTAACATAAGACCAGAAAATCCCCTCCGGGGCTCTCTGGTTTTCCAGTTCATCTGCAACTGACAGGTTTACATTAGCAGAAAATATCATATTTAGGCCGTGACACGCTCTCTGATTATTGGGCTGCAGGGGATGTTTGTTAAAACACATCACTCTGTCTTAGCAACAGAGAAAAAGGATGGAGAAAAAGTTTTCAAAAATTAAGCAGTTCATCATACAAAATTAAAACATCACTCAGGTGGTTGCCCCTCAGCATGTGGAGCCTGATGATTTGATTATTTGAATTCAATACTTGAATTTATTGTTTGCAGGCAAACCATGGTGGGCTGAAGCAGAAGTCGGACATCGAGCACTACAGGAACAAACTGCGTCAGAAGGCCCGGAGAAAGGGCTACGGAGAGTTCTCGCTGTCTGAGACCGGTAGCCACGGTTACAGTCACCGTGACACCAGGCATAGTCGGCATGACAATGGGGTCAAGGAGCCAATGACCGCAGAGGAGAAGAGGGCCTCCTTTGCAGGATGTCATAAGAGGTATGGGAGCAGGCGATGTCGGGGTTTCCAAAGACACCGTGTGAAATGATTTAATTTGAATGATTAAATGCATGACATCATCGAAAATATAAGGAGATCTGGCTCTTTCCGTCCGCATTCAAAAGAATTAGAAGAATCAACCACAAAAAGTATACAGTATTCAAACAGTGGCTGCCATGGGACAAAATCTCACCGAGTGTGTGCCGGCACTCTCGTGAAAATGTTTGACAGTCCCAAAATTAAAGGATTAGAGTTTAGTATCAAAGTCTGGATCTATTTCATTATTGAAGCCTGTGAAATTAGTTTTTGTTCCATTTTATTTCACCATTATTCAAGGAGTAAAGTAAGTGCTTTACAGCTGACTGGTCTTATTTGTCAGAATGAATCTTACTTTTATGAATGTATGAATTTTTTGTTGAATCCATTACAATTAAGTGCTAAATAAACTGTATTTATTTCACCACAGATTAATATTGTATCTACTGTCGATCTGTAGCTGGAGAGCATAGTTGCTAAGCAACGCTTAAGGAGTGAGTGAATAGTGAAGGATGATTTTTGATCAGCACATTAATATTTTACAGTTCATACAGACAAGTGCCTGTTTTGCTTCTCTCTGTCAAAAACTGATTTATCACATTCAACCTTTACACAGTTCATGAATCCTTTTATCTGCTGTTCAGGCAGAGAAAAGCACGTATTTACCTTTTCACTAACCTCAACTCTAACCCTTTAAGCAGCTGTAAAAAATCTGTCTCTGGCTCTGATGGAAACCTCAACATTTTCCTTATTTGCCTAAATTAAATTCTGCTTTAATTCACTGTCCATTTAATGTCCATGTCTGTTCTTCTCATGAACACGGTATATCACTAACGCCTTGAGGGCACTTCTTCAAATTTAGCACAAACATTCATTTGGACTCCAGGATGAACTGATTAGAATTTGCTGGTCAAAGGTCAAAGGTCAAGGTCACTGGGACCTCACAAAACACGTTTTTGGCCATAACACATAGATTCACACACTAATTTTGACATATTTTAACACACATTTGAAGGATAAAATGATGTGATGACAATTTATATCCAAATGGTCAAAGGTCAATTTCACTGTGACATCATACTGTTCTGCAAAAACACTTTTATTCGATGCTGTAACTCAGGAAGTGGAGATTGTGACAGTATTTCCTGCGTCTTGGCTGGTTGGCGGAGGCATACGGTGATTCTAGTTATTCTGCATTCAGTTCCTGTTGTAGATGAAATGTACTGTAGGACAGACATAATCAGCTTATAGATAATAGATAATCAGAAAGTCATGCTTGTAAATTTTGATTTATGAGCATTGAATATGGTCACAATGACAATTATATTAATCAGGTCAAATTCCTACAATACTGAGGGAATCCAAACTCGTTTCCCAAAGTGAATGTGAGATATGATCAGTGATAAATCGTGATAGTTTACTCCACAGTTGTTTATTATTCACGTAACAGATGAATCATAAGAAATATTATTGACCTACATGAGTGTCTAAAAAGCTTCTTTTTCACACCTTTCTCCTCACCTGCCTAAAGAAATTAAATGTAGAAATACAGGAATTGGCCTTTAAACATTTCACCATGTGCAGCTTTTATTTGTTACATATAATCTCCCCCAAATTCCCCCATCAGTAGCACATCCGGCCCTGAGCCTTAGCTACAGTGGTAAGATAGTTTTTTTCTTACACCTGTCCTCCAGGTACTCCCACCCACGGGAGCCGACCTACTGGAGCAGACAGTCTCTGAGCAGCCCGAGCCCAGTGGAGACGGAGATGGACCTGCTGGTGCTGAGAGAGAGATCCAGACGGGGCATCCGTAACAACGGCTACGACGTGAGTAAAGGCAGAGCTTACGGACCTTCAGTGTTCTTCACTTCAGCGTTTTAAAAACACTCAGCCAGAAATAATGCCAGAAGAGAACAGTGGAAAATGTCAGGTTCAGGAAAAAGGCCAGAGAGATGAAATTCAGATGAGGTTTGAAAATGTCAGTGATTTAAAGAAAATACCTGTAGTTTTAACTTGGACCAAGGATCTGTGAGTAGAGGATGTGAGGGATTCACTGCTACAGAAGTCCAGAAAAATACCTGCAAAGCTTTGAAGAATTGGAGTCTGTAACAAACCGTAAGCTCAGGTCCAACCTCTGACCAGGTGAGTCACACCGGGAGATGATGAAACCCTTGGTTGAATCCTTCCTCTTCCAAATGGGTTCACATGGTGGTTGTGGCGAAGGAAAGCTCTGCCACTTTGTCAAACTAATAAAATAATCTGCAGAGAGAATTTATAACTTTAATCCTTTCTTTCCCTCCTTTACTCTAGCTCTGACGCTCTGAGCTCGCACCCAGAGGATTAACAAATTACCTTTCAAACTATAAACCTACACCAAATAGAAAGATAAAGACATAGGGAAGGTAAGAAGGAGAAGGAGGGAAATGACAAAACGATTAGAGAAAGAGCGATTCCTTCATTTTAGAGACATGCGAAAGATGGAGAAAGGAGGAAGCAAGAGGGGGAGAGAGCAGGAGATAAAATGGAGACAGAGTGAGTGAACTGTCTTAACGCTGCCTCTCTGCTGCACCGCAGTAACAGCAGCAGCAGCAGCAGCAGCAGCAGCGGTGCTACCTAGTTGAATGTCAATGACTCTGAATATGATTATAGCCTATTCATGGATTCAGATGGGAGGCTCGATAGCAGTTAATAGCTTTGGATGCGCCAAACTCTTTGAAATGGCACAAGGAGAACAGAGTGTGTTTGTGTGTGAGCATGTATTCATGTGTATGTGTGCAGCAGGTATATCTTATCAGTTTGGTTTTCATGCTGTAACTAACCTGCTTTATTCTGCGTCTATGTTTGGGGCTTTTGGTTTTGGGCTGTAGTTGATTTGCTTCATGCTTGTGTGTGTGTGTGTGAGTGTGTGTGTGTGTGAGTGTTGCAGTGTGTAGTAATGCTGGGTAATAATTTCAAAATAATTTATCAATTTTGAGTGGAATCCTGTTGTGATGATATGATCAGATTTCATTATCTTATTAAACTGTTCAGAGCAAATTTTAATTAAACTGACAAAATGAGTTATTGATGTTTTTTGATGTCTGATTAAATTAATAATTGTTCATTATTTTCAATGTGATTTTGCATAAATTTTGCATATAATATAATATCTACCAATACTGGGAAATGTTCTGAAAATATCCAGCCCTGAACTTGTGGGTGTGTTACATCTTACATGTGTCTTATAGAGCAGTGATTCCCAGCTACAGGTACAGTACTGGCACCACAGGGGGCAGTAACCCAGTCACAAGTAAAGACAGATTTATTCATATATTTGGGCTTTGGACGAAAGTAAAACCACAAGTGGTGTAACAAATGTGAGAGGTGTGAGTCTGATCCGATGTTTATTGTCATGATGACAAATAAACGAGCAGCGTCGACAGGCTGAGTGCACACAGCACGCCTCCCCAACAACCTCTGCTGTAACGCATGAACCCCGCACTAAAAGTGTCTGAAAGATGGTTAACAAGCAGAGCAGAGAAGCCCAGATGTAAACTGCATGAATGTATGAATGTGCGTTCTGTGTGTGGTGGGTGAAGTCGTACAACTGAGAACTTGACCAAACCTGTTGTCGTAACTTCTATATAATTAATACTGTCCAGCTAAATCCATTTGAAACATTAAAAACAGAGAAGGTGGAATCAGCGTTATTAAAGGAGAAACATTTCATTGACTTTTTAAACCCAAAAAATGAATACAAATAAATACGTGTCTTTGTAACTCGTGTACTGATGGAGTCACGTTGCAGGAGAAACTAATTGTTGATGTTTGATTCCCTCACTTAACCAGACGTTCGTACAGTAGGCGCTCAGAGATTGTGACTTGATCTTTCAGGAACGAACACGTACGACTCTGGTGTTGATTTCCTCAACACTTACATGGACAGGCTGTTGAATGCACTCCTGCCCTGTTGACTGAGTGTGTGCGCTCTCTCTCTCTCTCTCTCTCTCTCTCTCTCTCTCTCTCTCTCTCTCTCTCCCTACAGGGTGAACCAGAACCGTTCGAGGAGACCAACGTGGACCGTCTGATGAGCTCTCTGGGTTACGGAGGTGGATCCACTGGCACCGGGAACGGCAGCTTGGGGGTGAAAGCTCACCGCGGCTCTGACTCCTCCACACTCAGCTCTCAGCCGTCCATTGATGAGGTCCGCACGCAGATGCATATGTTGCTAGGCAACGCCTTCAGTCTGGCACCTCCGGACCACGACCCGCCTTCCCCTCCAACCAAGTAAAACCGAGTTTTTTTCCCGAGATGATTTATTTCTTAGCACATCTGCATGATTTACAGTATTGTGTAGGAAAGGAAAGAGAGAGGTGCCGTGACATCTCAGCGTGAGCTCGGTGGAAGTGAGCGCAGCCCACTCCCAAGCTGTTCTCCACAGAGTGCAGGAGATTTATCTGAACATCTCTGCTTCTTTTGTGTTCACTTTCCTGTCTCTTCCCAGCAGCCACCACCATCACCACCACCATGCCCACAGCGCTTACAACCCCTCCCACACCAGCCACTACAGTGACGGGGTGACCAGCGCCCCGGGCACCATGAACCATCCCTGTGGAGGCAGGCAGAGGAGCGCAGGCTATGAGGACATGCACCAGTGCAGTCTGCCCAAACCGGTAATTACCAGGAGGAGGTTAAAGGCTAAACAGGCAAATAAAAAAAACTTGCCTGTAGCGGCATCGAACTATCCAGATAGTTTTAGTTTTATTTGTCCGCGGGTTGAGAAATCTGTGTCTTGTCTATCCGCCTCCACTTCAGCACAGTGGAGGACAATGGGATTTGATACGTGGCGCTCACAGCAATGGAAAAATTACATGTACAATATTCTGCAGCCACGTTTTTCCATTAAAAACGATTCACAGCAAATGACCTTGGAGAGAAACATACAGACGCATGAGTGAATCAATCACTTAAAATTGCATTAATTGATTTTTTTTTTTTCCCCATCGAATTGTAAGCACGTCACTGACATATTACCACCTTATAAAGTTGCTATGGCCACAAAGACTGTCAGAATATAGTTGAAACAGAGTAACATTAACATTCACTGGGACGTCTGTTTCCACCTGATAAAATGGAAGTTCAGTATTCAGTCTCATTTTCTCTCTCAACTCCTGAGGGAAATAATTTGGCTCTTCAGCTGCTTCTCTATTTACACCAGCTAGTCTCTAACTTTGTCAGCCATTAGGTTCTGGGCAGGAAGCACACCGTGGGTTTTTAAAGCTTTTTGGCTGAAAACAGCTTCTGCTGCTGCCGCTGCCGCTGCCGCCGCCGCCGCTGCTGCTGCTGCTGCTGCTGCCGTTGCTGCCGCTGCCGCCGCTGCTGCCGCTGCTGCCGCTGCTGCTGCTGCTGCTGCTGCTGCTGCTGGAAACATTGCGGCTTAGAGCAGTGAGAGCGAACCAAACAATAAAGCTGCTGGCCATAAAAACCAAAACAATGAGCTGAAAGGCACTAAAACACACCGGATAATGATTCTGTGTGGATTCACCTCTCACCGGCACCTTTTACTCTGCGTTGTCGTCATATAATCCGCTGCTAGTAAAAACCACGCAGAGAAAGTTAAAGGCTTCCTGATAGAGCTGATAAAGTAGTTAAGCCTCTTGGGGTCAAGGTCATTATACATATAGATATATATATATACATATGTAGGTTTTTATACAGACTTTTACACTCATCATTTGTAGAGAGGGTCATGCAAGTTGCATTCTCAAGAAATTAAATTGTTCCTTTAAAATATTTGCACAGAGAGTTTGGACACTGAGAAGAGCTGCTGTCACTCCTGTCAGTGTGTGTGGCCAACAGCTGATCAGCGAGGGAGAAGCTTTACAGAGATTAAAGAGAGACTGTGGACTGAACACACAGAACATCAGTAAATAAAGTTGCCTTGTGCGGCTTGAATTTGAATGTCCATTAGTTCCTCCTCTAATCAGACTGGTTTATTGTTCCTCCAGCTTGTGTTTTGGCTTTGGTTTAAGGTTTTGTTTGGTTGTTTTGTACTCGCTCTGTTGAGTCCAGATGCTTGTCAGACACCAGTTCTAAATTATATTTGTGGTTCCTGCAGGGTTTCCGGTTCACTCAGCTTCCTGATATGGGCATTGGTTCACCCCCGCCACTGATCCCCTCTAGACCAGGACCGCCACCTGGGACCTCACTACGACGGTACCGCCCACACTCACACAAATATAGCCAGATACACACACACACACAAACAGACGCTCGACTGAGAGGATATCTCAAAAAAATAACAAGGAACACCATGTGCCCTCGGCAAACGGCGAGATATAGACTTAAGCAAATGTTCTAACATCCACGGCGCTGAGAGTGTGGAGATCAAATCTAAAGAAAATGTTCACGTATGGGATTTTAAAGTGTTCCAGGGTGACTCCTCGGCCAATCAAAATGCAGCGGGAGGCTGCACGGTGGAATACATTGTGGAGGGGAGAAAAAAAAAGGCATCAGGATATCAATCGTCGTTGTTCGAACTGACTGCCCTCCACATCCACTCTCTGCCTGCACCTCTCTCTCTCTCTCTCTCTCTCTCTCTCTCTCTCTCTCTCTCTCAGGCCCATATGTTCGTCAGCATCGTTTGAAGCAAGCAGCTTCTTCATTTAAATGCTGTTGCTGTGTGCACCGTGTTGCTGGGCACTTTAGCACTGCAGAGAGTGATTGACTGTTCTGCTGCTTTTTTTTGGGAGTGGGGGGGAGTGGGGGGGTGTTGCACGGAGGAGCATGTTCGCCATCTAGTGGATAAACTGGGAAACTAACACACGCTCCAGCTGTGATGTGCTGCAGACTGACAGGAACAAACTGTCAGAAACGCTCCAACTCATCTGATCTAATAAGAATATAATGTAGATATTTAGAATTTTAATTAGATTTAATAAGGATTTTGACAGAGACAGCTATGCTGGTTTTATAATTCTCTAATTATTGCTAATTTCATTTTGAATCAGAACTATGTGAGTGTGACCATTATTCTTGGTTTAAAACCAGAACTTAAATGTTTTAGTGGTTAATCACTCAGCCTGTCATAGATCAGCTCCTCTGTGCCCTCAGGGAACCGGAGTGCAGCATGTTAATTCCTCTTTAGTATGCACTGTGAGGCATCAGTGTGCACAGTGCATTACGGTCCTAATCTCTGGCAATGACATCATCTGTCCGCCGGTCTTTTACTGTAATTAACATGTACAGTAGCCAGGGCTGCTACAGAGGAGAGGAGGATACTGCAACGTAGAAGAAGTGGAAACACAATGGAAACACTGAAAATGGAAAATGGTGGTCTGCACGGGCGACATGACGAGGCTCTGGGACACAGAGATAGCTAGAATCACAAGTTCAATCACTGAAAAGTCTTGAAATTATAACCAGACGTGTAAAGAAAGGCCTCAAAGTGATTTAATTATTGAGATGTCTCATATTGTATTCATAGTTTCAGCTATTCACTTGTATTTCTTGTCTTTTTGTTTCACAACATGAAGGTTTTAAGGCCGCGTCTGTACCGTCAGGAGTAAAACTGTGATGGGAAAATACTGAATCATTTATTTATTTTCCTTAGTTGAACAATAAAGGACAGACAAATGTCTCCTAAATATTCTTTCTTTCATGACAGCAGATTAAAAGAAAGTGATATGTTGACGTCAGCACGTTAGAGTAAGTGTGTGTTCTGCCTTGACCAGGCTATTGCTAACCACTGCTAACATACCAGCTGACACTCAACTGACCCGTGTGACTGTGTTCAGCTGCTTTCAATACTGATTCATCAACCGACACTTCAGCTGCTCCTGTGGCTCAGACAGACTCATACTCCAGCTGCTTTCATCCCGCACTCTTCCGCTGACAGTTCACCTACTTTCAGCTCTTAATCTAGTTCTGCTAATTTCAGTGCTTTTGCATATGAACTGGCAGTTTAATTGCTTAGCGCTTCCTCTAGTTAAACTTTTTTTTTTTCAGTGCTTCACCTGCAAGTGACTCTTTCACTGCTTCCCAATATATGATATCACGATCTTTTCAACACACAATCACAATCCCCAATTTTGAAATCTGTTTTTTCGAGACTATCCAGACTTGTTTTTCCAAGTACGTCACGCAAGTCGAGTAGGTTCTGTTGGTTAATGAACGTAATCTGTGTCATAAGGGTGGATCGAGTACAGCTGGTACGATCAGCCATGTTATAAAATCATCAGATCGCCCACCAAACAAACTATAAAGATTCTGTTGACATTTTCACTCCCACTTCTTTAAGTGTAAGCAGGCAGACTTCATTTTCTTCAGTAATCGTAGCCTCTTCTGCTGATTTCAATTTTTTAGATTCATCCAAGTGATGTTGATCAGTAGTTTGTTGATGACAGTATAACAGGTTTAACATCTGTTCCTTCTTTCCATCAACAGCTCCACCCCTGATGTTAGTCTGAAGCCTCGTGTGTCAGAGGCCTCAGACCTCCAGGCCCAGCAGCACAACGGCGCCCCCTACCTGCCGCTGTCCAGGACCCCCTTCCCTGCTGTTACTGTCGACCAGTCTATTACCACCTACTCAGGTGAGACTCAGCTGTTAGGAAGTCGAAATGGAGACAGAGCTATGATACGTTCAGTTCATTAATTGACTGAATCCGTCTTTGCATCTCACAGGAAACCCAATAACAGCAGTCTACGCTATATCGTCCAACCGCCCGGGTTACTCAGACTACTTTGTCATGTCGCCGCCGTCCTCGTACCGTAGCCCGTCCTGGATGTCCTACCCACCCGAGCCAGAAGACCTGCCGAGGCAGTGGAACGACACGCCGGTGAGACACATACTGTCCAGACTGAGCGGCAGACACATTCTGCTAAGAGTATTTTTCCAGTGTGTGAAGCAGCTCTTCTCTTCTCCCTGCAGAACTCACGTCACCTTGAAACCATCTGCTGAAATCATCAACCTGTGACACTCGAGTGGAAACTCGGTGGGTCAGCTCATCTCACCGCTGCTGTTTGATACGCTGTCGTGTTTGTTTAGTGATGATGGGATTTTCTGTAACTTGTCGGTTTATTAGGTTGAAGTGTAACTTATGTTTACACCCAAAGATACGCTGGTACCTGTAGAGAAACAACTTTAAACTGTAAGATTCACATGTAAAAGCATGATGTCTCTGCAGCAATGAATCTTCTCTCCGACTGAAACAAATCACCGTCACCTCCCAGTGGTGATAATCTCCACGCTAATGAGCTTGCTAACAGTCAGTTAGCTAACTCATTAGCTGGTTATCTTAGCTCAGTCACTAATGGGAATGTAAGCTCACACAGACATATCCGCACCATTGACTCCTGTCTGATAACTGTCTGCAAACCACTGCTCTTTTACTTAGGTTAAATAAAAATGGATGGTGCAACACATATAATACATAAATGGATGCAACAGAAATACTAACAGACGGAAGCTGCTGAGGGAAAAATGAACGTGAATGTGTAACGTGACGGCAGCTCTGTCTGTTTTTCCTGCAGGTGTCTCTTTGGGTAGAGGACCTCCTTCTCACAGAAGACCCTCTGGAGCTTTATCACCACCCCCTCCCTCCATCACCGGTGGATCCCCTCTGCCCCCACGTTATCTCCAGCTGTCCCCTCGCTCCACTGGTCTGGCCTCCATCTATCCACTCTCAGCCCATTTCATCTGCAGCTCAAAGCATTTCTCATCCCTCAGAACTCCTCTGCCCTGTAAGCCCTCTCACCTGGTCAAAGCTCCACTTCAATGTCCTTACCAATGCAAATGCTCAGCCATAAATCTCTCTCTCTTTCTGTCTCGCTCTATTCTTTCTGCTCCCTGAGCCCCCGGGCCTCACCGGCCCTCACCGGCCCCTCTGGGCCCCTAGTCACTATCTCTATGTAGACTGCCTCTTCTGTAGTGACCACCACTGTACAGCCAGAGGCCCCCCATCACGCTGCTGAACTGAACTAAGCGGGAAATGAGAGCTGCGTGAAGCTGTACTGTGCTTCCCTGCCTAAACAACACACACGCACATTTGTGTGTGTGTGTGTGTGTGTGTGTGTGTGCGCGCGCGCGCGCGCAGTGCGGGCGAACAGGGTGAGTACAGTACAGCGTGACATGCAGTGCAGTGTGACGAGTTCTCTGCCCCAGCAATCATCGTACAGTAACAGCCATCTGCCCGGCACACGATGGCACTTGGCGCTGCGTTATCAGTACAGTAGTGCCCCGGCCGCGGCCAGTAGTCTACTCCTGTGAACTGGACTGGACTGGACCTTCCTGGACTTGCCCCATAAGTCCACTCTGAAGCCAGGAATGCTGGACTGACTTAAAACTGTGCTTTTCTTTTTCTTTTTTTTCTTTTTTTCTTTTTTTTTTTTGATGAATCCAAATTCCTATGTAAACCTTCTACAGCTGGTTAATATGTGTATTTTAAACTTAAGTGAAAAAAAAAAAAAAATCTAAGGAAAAAGGAAAAAAAAAAAATCTTGTCTTGAGCTGTCTCAATTTCAGTTTTTGGATATTTGTGTGGTTTTGTCTTTTACTTTTGTGCATTGATTATTATCAATGGATTACTGTACAAAAAAAGATGTAGTGAGTGTTTCTCTTTCACTCACCTTATTTCAAGGCAAAAAAAAAATTATAATTACATTCTTTGAAGCAGAGAAAATGGCGGCTTAGTTGTCTGTGGTTATGATGGCATTTCTGTACTTTTAAAAAAGAATTACTTCATTTACCTTTTTCCTTCATCAGATTCAGTAATGAAAACAAGAATTAGTCACAATGTTCTGTCGATCATCTGATTATGAAGTTTTGTCTGCTAACCATTAGACGGACCTGGGTCAAAAACACACGCTGAAATCCCGCTCACATGCAGTTCTGTGACTTGTAGCTTTGCAGTCGCTGCAGAGGTTTGACGGATTTTAGCGCCTTGGGATTAAAGAAAAAAACATTCACATATACGATGAGTTGGATTAGAGGTGATTTCAATTGTTGTTTGACTCGGGTCTGTTGCAATTATGTGAACACACCAGTATTCTTAGAAAAAACACTTCTTTTACTTGAAAGGTGTCTACTGTATAAGGAACTTTGACTTTTGGTTATTTTGGTCTTGATGGCGAGGGATGAATATGTGGTCGCTGGAATATGGTATAGTACTGTTCAAGAGATTTGCAGGGCTTGGATGAGCCGTGTATGTAACAATTAAATGTATTACTGTATATAGCAGATGATTTAACAAAGAGATTTATGCAAGTAGTGTGGGAGGGAAACTTTGCTTGACGTTGTTCGGATGCCATTTTTCTTCCTTTTTTTGGTTTCTCAGCGTTTACGATGAAGGACTGTTTTTGAAACTTTCTGAAGGATGCACACATTTCAGTATCATCTGGATCATCGTGGTTCATAGTGTTGCTAACACAGAACTTAAAATATTACAGGAAACATATTACAAAAAGGAACAGATGGAGAGTTTAGAGCGACATGTAGAGCAGATCTAACCCTGCATTTACAGTATTCTTTATGTTTAAACCTAATATAGTCTTATAGTCTAAACGATGTAAATTTTAGTACAAAGAATGTCACAGTCTAAATTATATTTACCCTCATTTTTTCTGAGGACAACTGGAAATCTATGAGCACACTGTACGTTAGGCTTCTCATCGTGTAGATGGTACCAAAGGAGATTATAGCCATATATTAACTTCACCAAGTGGACGAAAAAACAGCGAAGATAAACAGTGTTGTATCAAAAGTGGCAAATGATACCAAATGAGAGTATATTAGATAGGGACTGATGAGGCAGAACGGATAGATAGTATAGATAGAAATGTAAAGATAGTAAGTGTAGTTTGAAATGAAATGAGCACTTTTGTAAAGAGGCCAAACCATGACAGAAAAAAAGCAAAATCAATGCAAAAATGCTGTTGTATAGCATGAAATATTCTGATTCTATAGATGTATAAAACATACAAAAGTGCAAAGCTGTACGGGCATAATCAGAGGAAAAAACGTTTTTAAATATCCAGCTTATTTATGACACCCTTTTTTTTTGGACCCATAGACAGGCCTGCACACCAAGGATGTGTGCACAGTATTAAATTAGGGAATCTGAAGCGTCTAACGACTTGAGGGGTAATGTGCATTATACAATAACACAAAAGTTACACATAGGGAAGTTTTAAAGACAGATTTTTTTTAGAGTCAAAACTCTTAAATTTGACTGTTTTAGGAGAAAAACATAAACACACCAGCTTTGAAACAAATAAATAAATATATAGGAAGAGAAAATTTACAGAAAATATATTTTAACAATGGAAGAAATATAGGAAATGTGAGAACGAATCTTTTCAGACTATTTTGTTGGCTTGGTCAAAAATTTCTTAGGGGGGACAGTATTTCTAAAATCCCATCTAAGGTCTTGTCTCTATATGTATGGCTTCAAATGCAAATTCAAAAGGGAATATCAACTTATAAAATATACCTAGATACATTTAAAAATGCAAATACATCATTTAATATTGTTTAATAACGTGTAAAATGACGCCTGTATCTAGAAAGTAGCACAGGTAAGAAATCGTCCTCTTCCAGTTTGTTTAGGATTCCTCTCTTTTCTGAATCTAGGTCTGCACATGATAAATATTAGATGTGGATATTTAGGGAAAAGAAAGCAAAGGTATGAGATCACAGTGCTATCGGTGTTGATCGTAACAATTACCAGAACAACCATTGTGTTTTAAATCATACTCGGTGTATAAACCCATGTTTGGTTGAAGAGGAAACGCTTCCGCTCATGTCTATCATTTTATTTGACTCCATGTTAAAGAGAGGGGCGGGTGGATTTTGGTTTTTCAGCAGTAAATTGAGGGAGACTTGATGCTATGCTATAAGTTGATGTGCAATGTTTGTGCTTTACACGGGTAGCGGCGAGATGCTTTTATTGACGACGGACTCTGGGATGGACCGACTGTCAGTAGTTTTTTTCTGCCGTTTGAGCCATGTCACGATGCTGTGATGTCATGGCGGCGCTGATGATGTCACACTGTCGTCACTCGGGTGTTGATGAGGTCACAGTGACGACAACTATGAATGCTGTTGGATGTAGTTATGCAGAAAAAATTTTGGTGAATTTAAACAATAAAGACAATAAATTTGTGAAAACAAACATGCTGATATATGACCCATGTCATTGATGAATAAACTGCTGTGTGTCTGTAACGTAATACACGATGTATCCACCAGAGGGAGGCAGACTCACACAGTACAGGCCTAAACCTGCAGTCAGGGTTCTCCACCTTCTGGAAAGTGTTACAGCAAGTAATCAAATGTTCTTGTCTGTTCATATTTGTGTTTTTCTCTGCAGGAAGCCACATACAAAACAAAAAAAAATATTCATTGATTCAATCAGAGGTGAGGCAGTTGCATTATAAATAAAACATGTTTGAAAAATCATTTCTGTCCCTGAGATGAAAGCTGAGCCGCTCTTTTCAGCCTCCTGTCGTTGACCTTGACCCTTCAAACGCAGGCGAACTGTGAGTCAACAGAACGAAATGTGGCCTCAGCGAGGGTTTCTGTGAATTGAAAGAAGATACAGCCATGAATCACAGGACAGATAACCCTGCTTTTTATGCCTCCGATTGAAACCTAAAAGAATAATACGTCACTTTGAGGAATGACATTTTTATTGTCTTTGCCTTGTGACTGTGCTCCGGGCGAGGGGAAGGAAGTGTCCAGGACAGGGTTGCTCCAGCAATCGGTAAATTCATGTCTTAGTTTGTGTGATGTTCTTTCCAAACTCTTAGTGCATGTACGTGTGCATGTTGGTGGTAAAAGCAACCTTCCAGGATTTCCTCCACTGAAGAAACCAGGTCTTTTTCTTAAAAGGCCTCAGGTGGACTGACCATGGGGTCTACCGGTTCAAATCCAGGTCAGCCAGTGGTACGTCAATATAACCTTAAAGATTATAAACTTTTTACCAGCTCTTTCAGTGTCTTTATCGGCTCCATCGGTGTAATTCGTGCAGCTGGCCAAAGCGAATAAAAGTCCAAAGTTGAATTTCTTTCCCAGTCCGACCGTGGAGCCAACACTGGTTTGGCTTTACAGAGACGGAGAACCCAACAAGCTGGAGAGCTGAGGAACATAGTTAGGTGTTAAGTCCATGTAGGTTTGATCCATTATTGAGATGAAAAGAATAATTTGCACATTAAGTTTATCTTTGCCAATGTGTCAGACTTCTACTACTATTATATTCTATTGTATTAATCTGGGGGTCAGGGGGCTCATTTGCACAGAGTCAAATGAAGCTCTACATGATGTAAAGGGCTTTGGAAAGCTTTGATGGGCTCTGTGTAAACACTGAACAGCCTGTCTTTGTGCTTGCTCAGGTGTCTTGTGTTTGTGATATTCTTCATCCTGTCTTGGCTTTGGTCAGCTTGTCTCTCCACTGCTAATCCTCTGCTCTCTCACGCGGGAGGCTGATGTTATACTCAGCTAAAACCCGCCAGATTCGCCCAGAACAGCATCTTTTAACCAATAGTTTCCCCAGCAGCTGTGTGTGTGTGTGTGTGTGTGCGCATGTGTGTGTGTGCGCGTGTGTGTGTGCGCGTGTGCATCTGTGTACACGTGTATGTGATTCCTGTTACACGATGCTGTCTCAGCTTTCTATACCTTCAGCCTGTGCAGTAAGGCCGGTGTAATGAGCGCTATTTAACGGCTCTACACCACAATATCTGTGTGTGGTTGTGTGTGTGCATGTGTGTGTGTGTGTGTGTGTGTCTGTGTGTGTTTAATTTCTCTAGCCAGTAATTAATGGCTAATCTCTCTAAGTCAAACAAATGGGAATAAAGAGAGTGGGCTACTGAGCTGAAGATCAGAGCACGATTTCAGGGCTTACACCGCTCAGAGGAATTAGATCCTCTCTCTCTCACACACACACACACACACACACACACACACACACACACACACTCACACACACACTCACACACACTCACACACACACACACACACACACACACACTCACACACACACTCACACAGACTCACACACACTATTCAGTTCATCGAGTATGTTAGCACACACAACAGCAATAACCCCCAAATGGTTGTTCAGTGTTGTCTGAGTCAAGCCTGTGTCAATTCCAGCTTTCATTTTCCTGTGCAGGGCTTTCTTGCACTTATCATTAACGAGCCGGGTTCCTTCTCCCTGCTGCTGCCATTGTCTAATAAGAGCGAGAGACACAAATAGACAGAAAGAGAGGGGTGAGGAGGACAAAGAGAGCGAGAGAGATAGAGGGCAAGAGGAA